GGGCACGAAGCAACCCGGGGTTCAGGCAGCAGAGGGCAGGGCAGGACCCTGGGGCAGCCCGGGCTGAGCCTTCTCTTGTCCTCCGGGCCTGGGCTTCCACACCCAGCGTTCCCCGGGAGGTTCTGCCTGCACCCCAGAGCCCACAGACCTCCTCACTCCTGTCCTGCTTGTGTTTCTCAGACCAGGAACATCTGGATGAGGAGATAAACAACCTCCGGAAAGAGCTGCGCGTAAAGGTCAACCGCCTCTTCGAAGCTCAAGGTAACCGCTCCTGTTCTGGAACCATCTCCGTGTCTGGCAGCAGACGTTGTGTGTCGGGAAGGTCCAGAAACTCCTGCCGCCGCTTTCCCGCAGGCTTTGGAATCCCTCCCCTGCTCCAGCGGTACTGTATGGCTCCTGGCGCAGAGCTGTCGCCCACTAGCACACTAAGCAGGCTCCCACATCACGCTGGGGCGACCCCACATCACTTCCAGGGCTGTCCCTGCCCTCGCCCCAGCTCCTGTAGAGTTTAACGAGGACTGCTTCACTTATTTTATAGCAAACTCCTGATTTTTCTGTGTGTTCTCTCAGGTAAAGCTGAGCTGAAGGGATTTAACCTGAACCCCATGACCACTGAGGAAATGAAACTAATCAATCGCATCCTGGAGGGCTGAGGTGGCCGTGCCATCATCACAGCTGTCACCCGTGGAGCTCACACTGCTGTAGCCGCAGCTTCGGGGTTTGCAGGAGGACATTAGCATGCCCAGAGCCTGCCTCGGGTGAGGTCCCTGGTGGGCACTGGGAAGTATTTAGCTCCTCAGCTACGTCGCTGCCATTTTCTTGGATCATGCACCCTTTCCTGCTCCTCGCTGTAGCCTGGGTGGCAGAGCCATGGCCTGGGACAGAGTGATGAGCCCATGGCCAGGCTGGAAGTGGGATTATTAAAATCAGAGCAGTGAGGTACTTCTAACTCCCTGTGTATGGTCCTTGTTGGGTTTTTATGCGAGCACTTTTGGAGTTTGGCTTCAGAGCTGGTTCACTGTCGTGTCGGGAACAGGAGTAGGAGGAATTGGGAATCCACAGTGTGCCCAAAGCACAGAAGAGGAATTGTGTGTGCCTGTAGTATTAAAACAAAGCAAAGCTGTACATCTGAAGCACGTCAGGAATCTCTTTAGAAATGTGTAGGGAGGGACAGGGGGTGGCAGCATCCTTTTAGTCTCACTGGGAAAGCATGTTCTACTGTTAAGTTGGAAAGCAAGAGACCACAGGAAAGAGGCGTTCAAATCTAGATGAAGGAAGAAAATGTATGTATATTTAAAAAAAGCAGCCTGAAGACAGCTGAGCAGCAATAGTCATTGAGCCTGTCTTGTAGTAAAAGGACAACTGATTTAAGCAGTAATGGTTTCTTCAAAGGTTTTAACACTTACTGTCTTCTACACTACCCTCCTTAGTCTGAACTTGCTACCCCAGCACAACTTGATTAAGACATAAGATTTAAAAAAAATTAATCATAATTAGTAACAGACTACAGTGAGTTTGATTTTTTGTCTGTGTAAGGAAAGTGTCTGGGTCCTGCCAAAGCTCTTTCTTGAACTTCTGTAAAGATATTTCTGGATAGAATTTAAAAAACTTTAAACACAGCAGTTGCCCTTCTTTCTCCAGCTCTCGAGGTAGCTCACCTATTCTGTCAAACCTAGCATGCATAACAGAGCTGGCCCTGATCCCTTGCTCTTTTCCCTTCTGCACAGCCATGCAGAACTTTAAACACAGCACCACCGTTTTCCTGTCTCCCTGACCACCTTCCAGCATAACAGGTCAGAGGTACCTTCTCCAGGCAGCCTGGTGCTGCCTTGTCCAGTTCCATACGCGCTTCAGATTATGCAGAGTTACAAACATACCCTGTTTCAGGCTCCCTAAAAAGAGAGGTGTGATTTCTTTAAATCTAAAAAGCCAACTACCATTGTTTGATCTAAGTTTAAAATTCTGTAGCTAACGCCACATATCCTAAACTAGAAGTGAGGCTGTCCACTTCAGCCTTAAGTTTTATACACACAGATTAAAAGTAACTTTGACTTATTGCTTGAACTGTCTTGCCTGTAGCTTTTTCAGAAAATTGCATCTCTTCTGGAAGCGAGCAGCAATAAAGTGCCAAGTCCCTGTGTTAGAGCCGCACTCTTGCGTAACCTGTGTAGTACAGCCAGGCAATGTCTCCGTAACGTGTGATGGCGAGGTTATTTTTACAGTATCATGGCAACAGGTTTTCTGCTCTGACATGTTTCCATAGTAGTAGCAGTAGGAGGATCAGGTGCCTGCCTTCCCCAAAAGCTTTGTTTTGCTGTGCAGAATGTGTTTAGCCCCTTTAGTTTCTTACACATCGCAGAACTAAGCTATGTGAGTGCAGGTGGACAGCCGAGAAACCAGCATCCCTTCTGTGTTGTGTCAGCCATTATGAAATACTTCCTTCAAGCTTATTGCTGCTTCCAAGCTGGGAAACCTTCAGAAGCAAGAAGGCCAGAGCCTTGTGCTGAGCCAGCAGTGTCCGGAGAGAAGGAACTGCCACCGCACTCTATGAGGAAGAGAGAGTGACCTTCATCCATGGCGATCTCTCCTATCCCAAGCCTGAGATCAGTACTGTTGTTTCTTCCTGTCATCGTAGCGGCCTGAAAGGAAAACATTAACGGAGGAGTTACACATCACCTTACTCTCCCTTCCTGTCCCACTTTCAGGTGAAGCTGTACCTGTGTTTTGTTAGTTAGAGGCTACAGCCAGAGATGACTGTAGGCACACTGAGCCGAGTACTTAACGATACAAGTTATCACCTCAGAAGTACAACTTTGGAATCTGAGTGTTACTTCCCAACCATAAAATACACAACTAGCTTCAGGGAAGTGCCTAGTAAACGGTCACCACAGTGACCGTAGAGCGTTTTTTGCAGCAAAGCTGGCATAGGAAGAGCTCCGCTGTGACTGAACACTTGAAAAGCAGGACTATGAACAAAACTGTTCCCGCTACATTTACATGCTTGTTTCCAACAGTGCTCCTGCAGCCTGGCCGCTTACATCCACTTTTGGAAAGCATTTGCTCCTTTTGGTCTCTCAACCCCATGAAAGCCCACAAGCCCATTCTTGTTTTTTTATTCTTGAGTGAGAGGTGCGTTGCTCCTCTCTTGCTGACGTGCAGCTAGCTTAGCGACGCGAGCAGGGCACCCTGCCAGTGCTGGATGAGCACACACCTGTATGCGTGTTTGCCGTCGTGTTCTCGTTCGCCAGGGTACCCAGGTCTCCCCCTCTGCTGACAGGCCCGTCGTTCTACATCAGGTCAAAGCCTCCAACACGCTTCTCCTTCCCCGTCAGCCTACAACGTCAAATACATGCACTGAAATACCAGAGCAATGACAATTACCTGTCTGCACATGGGAATAAACTCCCGGACAGTCAGAGACAAAGCTGGACAGCTGAAAGCAGCGGACACCTTTCCACTAGTAATACCTGAGGTTAGCACAGTTGTAAAGTCGATCACAAAAGTCTGCGAGACAAGCTGCTTGGAACAGAGCGCTCCAGAAGTGGCAAGTGTGGGAGGCACAATGCAGAAGGGCCTCTGAAAGAGCTCTTGTGCAAGTCCCGGCTCTGACAGACTCCATTCCCTTTGCAGCCCCGTGCAGCTTTGTTTTCCCACTCTGAAGGGGCAGTACGATCGCTTACTTTGCTCTGTTTCTGGAAATTCATCATTTAATCGCCATAAAGGTTAGAGTATTATGCTCAGTTGCCAAGAACGACATGGAACCAGACCACCCATTCCAAACATTTTCATAAAAAACCTTAGAAGGTAATAAACATCTTTGCCTGCCTGCCCTCCCTGTCCACAGTATGAAGTGTGTCTTTGGGTAGATGACACTTGAGTTCACAGCCCCCCTGGCTACTGGCAATGAAGGAGGGTGGAGCATTCACCTCCAGAAGCCAGCTGAGGAGATACAACAGTAAATGAGGGAGAAACAGGGAGTTTTGCCAATGGTTCATCTAAGAGAAACGCCTCCCCACAAAATCATTACCCTGCTAGCAGGCAGGAGTAAGTGTGAAGCAATAGGAAATCCAACCCTAAATCTCTTTCCCATGCGCCGAGCCAAAGAACATTCTGAGCTTATTGCAAAGTTTCTATTCCTGTTCTCGATGGTACTAAAGAAAAAAAAAAATCCCTCTAGCTTCCAGAAAGACATACTAGTGAAAACCAAAGTCTAGCTGCAGCAGTAAATGCCGAGGAGAATTCACAGAATGAGCATTAACCCTTTTTTAGTGGCGGAATGTGGACGTCTCCTGGGAAGAGTTTCCTAGCACAACACAGCATTCAAATAGCGCTGCTGCGCTCTCGTAGGAGAGCTCTCTGAGCACTGTGAGGACATAGAGGACTCATTCTGATTCATTTGTTTCCTGACCAACTGAAGTTACTCCAGCTCTTTACGTGCAGGCTGCCTGAGCAGTGATTTGGTTTGAGGCTAAGAACAGAGTAGATTGTGCAAATTGGAGCTACCCAGGATGACAGCTGAGCTGCATTTTATTTGCTCATTTGAAATAAAGCTGTCCCCAGTGGCACCACGTGAAATATTGGACTGAAGCTGACAGGACACAGGGCTGTAACAGGTATACCAGCTACCATGTCTTGTTAGAGAGAAGAGTTAAAAAATATAAATTAGAGAAGACGTTTTGTAGGAGAACACCGTCAACACAAATCATATCTAAGTGAAATTTCCTTACCTGTGGTACTGCTTACATTTTACATGATTAAGGCTGAAAGAATAATAATCCTATTTACTTGTCATTTCTGAAGTACTAGTTTCTGTTTCTGTTTTTCTCAACTCCTGTAATGACAAGCCAGTTGCACTCTCGGGTTCCTGCTGTTGCAATACTTGGGTTGCGTATGTAGCAGATAAAATTCTGAGAATTTCAGCTGAACTTTAATGATACATATTTTTCACTTAGCCGGTGAGAAAACTTGTATTTACAAAATAAGTCTAGAATCAAATTATGTTCTAAAGGTTTGGTTTTCTTCTTGTTGCTTTGCTTTAAATAACTTCAACTCCTGTGGAGTCCTTTTCTCCACAATTAGCAGGGGGGACCTCTCTCACTTGGGGTCTGCCTTTTAGCCGGGGCGCCACAGACACGGGTTATGTTTAGTGCTGGCAGCCAAACGGCAGCGGCAGGTTTATCAGTGCTGATGGGGCACTGCTCTAAGATACATAAGCAGACGAAGAGATGAGAACAACCCTCTATCTCTGGCAAGTGCTGTGATACTTGTGATACACTGATACTTGGAGGAGAATATACTCCAGAAATAACCAAATTGGCAGGGTTTCACAACACAGGGCTAGAGATCCTACAGACAAAGTTATATGGTGTTGCACGCTGCTAATAAACCTTGATACTCCGAGCAAAAGCAGCTGTATCCTTCTGGACGGCAGCTCCCTTCATGTAAAACAGATCAAACCTCTCTACGCTTCACTTGTGGTTCCAGACTGCCTCATTCTCAGCCAGCCTGCAAGCACCTACCTACAAGATGCAGCAGCATCACGAAACAACTCTGCCCCAGGGAAAGCAGCTGGCCTGATGCTACAACCCCTTGTATGTTTGTTAACAGCCATACGGTTTCAGATCCTGATGGACCAGGATGCTATAGCCGTAGAGCTCAAAGCAGTGTTTGCTACTGCTGATCACCTGAACACACTGGAGGCTGTGGATGAAAGCGTTGTCCGTATCCGCAAAGAGGTCAGTCCACCGACCCTGCCCCATGCCTGGCGGTCAAGCACTGTCCGAGCTGCTGA